AGATTAAGTAGGTGTTTTTGAAACTGGCCAAATCTAACTTCCCAGTTAAATTTAGATTCCTCAATCCATCCTCCAGACCTACTCTGGATTTAAAGTGCAGGAATCAATCCTTAACAAATCTTCCAGGTAATGCATAGCAAATGAAGGTTGAAACTCACTGATTTAGGTTGATAGAGCAAAAACTCAATGAAAAGAGTTGAAGTAAGGAAAAAAAAAACAGGTGAAAACGTATAGACTAATTTCTTTTTAAATTATCTTTGCCGGTAGCTTATATAAAATGAGAACAGCTGTCTGCAATCCTTAGGAAAGTACAGCTAATGTCTGATGCAGTCTTATACAAAATGTTTAAATTTCAACAATCAGAAATACTGAATGAATCTATTTTTCCTGGCTAATAATTAAACAAAAGTTCATTACCAGGGATGGGAGAGTGGGAGTAGCTTGTCTATTTTGAATATTACGAAGTCTTACTTTAAAAAAGATAGTTATACATTTGTATGGTATAGTACCCTGGTGTTAAAATCTTAAAAAGGGACATAAAAATATTTGTTCTTATAAAGCAACACAAAATTAGTCGTACAGTTTTCGATAGGGCAAGATATAAAATTTCTATACATTTTAAAGTACTTATTTATAGTTTACATTTAGGGTACACATTTAAACTATTCCCGAAGGCATGCCTTTGCTACGGAGTTAAAATTTGATATTTTAGGTAGCTCATTATTAAAAATAAAACAGAAAAAAAAAACAAAAACAAAAACACCGAAAAACCAAAACAAAGAAAACCTCATGCCGGAAATATTAGCACAGTACTTCCAAAATGACTCCATGATAACCCAGTTGGCCAATGAATGAAGGGGTGAAAAGGCAGATGTGTGGAACTAAACCTTATCCTTCCCTATTGTTAGCAAACTAAGTCCTTTGTGAATCACCGCTATTACAGTAGCCAGTTTAAGTGAGCAAGAAACTTGGATTTTTGCGGTCCATGAAAAATGTCAACCATGAAAGAAAATTACCCGGGTTTTAAATACAAAGGATACTCAGATTTCAGTTTAAATCCCCACCAGGCATTTCAAAGACTGTCATTTCCCTGCGGTCTCGAGTAAAATACTACCCGTATCCCTCTTAGGAGGAATTCGGAACCACGAAGTGCATCTCTTCTTTCTAAACCTGTCCTCAACCTTCCATCTTTAATAAAGGAAGATTCTTTTACCTGTGGTAACACTTTCGCAGTTAGATTTAACTACCGCTGAAGCTTCAGCATCCGAGCCGAACTGGCGGAAATATTAAGTTGCGATTACCAGAAAGTCAGAGATTAAACAAAGCTCAACCTCGGGGCTGTGGGGCCTCGGATTCCTCAATACTCAGAGTTGGTTTAGGTACGCCAACCGTCGGGAGCGCTGGTCCGGAAAACGCTCCCCAGCGCCCCGACTTCTCCGAGTCCCCACCCCCCACCCCCGAAACCCCCGAAAGCAGCCCGAGGCCCCGGCTATACTGTCCCGTCTCCCAACGCCCTATCCCATGCGACGGTCCCGCTCCTCTCGCTAGAATACTCTGTTTCTTCCCGTTCCCATCCACTCACCAAGGAGCGCGGAGCAGAAGTTCCAGAACTGCCGTGTCACTTCAGTTCTCGCGCAGCGTCAACCGCGAGCATCCTCAGCCAACGGCCTGCACGATTCAAATTCGACCACTTCCGTCCGCAACCCGGAAGAAGTGCTCCTCCCCGCCTCTTAGGAGGCGGAACCCGCGGCGATGCGAGAGGTGGGAAAGACCTGGAGCGCCGCGGCTGTGCTCCCGTGCCGTGCTGTCCCGGCTGTGCCCGCCTCACTTCAGTTCCTTTTGTCTCGCTCCCTAGTTAGGTCCCCAGAGCAGTCCGGGCGTGGGATCAGTGTTTCTGTCTGTGGCTCTTGAAAGGATCCTCGTTTCTGAAATAGAGACGTGCTGAAGTTTCATTCCTTCAAGGAGTGGAGAGAATAAAAGCACTAACAGAGCCCGGACGGTTTTACTCTTATTATCATAGCCTAAACAACAGCAACAGCAAGAAGTGAAAACGAACAAAAAGAAAACCTCCCCATACTTAGTACGGGGTTTCCCTAGGCCTCCTTAGTTCTATACCTGCAGAGACAGGACTTTGTGCGTTTGAGGAAGACAAAAAGCCAAATGTACTAATCACCCTTATTACAGCCACAAACTGAAAATACGTGGTAGGACCAGTCTTGATCCCAAATAAAAGTTTTGAGGATAAGTGTTAGAAAGCGACAATTTTTTTTTCTCTCTGGTAAGAGACCATTTACAAGATTGTAACGTAGTTCTGTGAGATTCTTTATCAACTATCACGCAATACATTCTTGATCGAAAACGCCTCAAACTTCTGAAAGGATACATTTAGGAACTTTATGAAAGGAAAGGAAGGACTGAATATGTTCTTAAGCTTAAAAAAAAAAAAAAAGAAAAGAAACTAAACGACTGCTCTTGATGTTGTCACCAGTTCACCCTGATATCTAATAGCATTGATTTACCTAAACTAATCAGTTCAAACCAAGCCGTGATAGAACATTTTAAGCCTCTGTCAAAACTGCAATTTGGAAGACACAGTAGATTCTGGGAATTTATTTTACAGATATTCTAACACAAAGAGGTACAAAGCTATTAACTGATGTATTGTTTTTAACAGTGGAAAATAGAAAATAACATGAGCGTCTATCAATAAGGAAATAAGTTTTGACTTTAGGATCTGATATACTGATACTGTGCAGGCACTAAAAATAATGAAGTAAATTAGCAAGTAGTCAAATAATGAAAAAATATCAACTTTAGAAGGACTATATACAGTATCCTTTTAAAGAATGTGTACGTGTATGGCATGCAATTTTTCTGGATGGATAGATAAACTGTAAAATGTTATCTCTGGGAGTCAGAGATAATTGGGGTACATCTGTACTATTAGGAGACTTCACAAAGCTGTGTTGCTTTGCCCCTTAAACTGCTGTCTCTGAAATTAGGGCTATTGAAACTCCAAGAACATACAAATTACAATGAAGAATGATATTATTTAATTAGAAAAGTAACAACATTCCGCTATACAGCAATGCTGATAAACCTGGCCTTGCAACATGGCACTCATTCTTACATTCGCACTTGCCTAGAATCAGTACACTGTTGGAGTAAATTGTCCTTTACAGTAGCTCATTCCTCCCCTGGGTTAGCCATATTAAATCTTTGGTAACCTTTTCTGCCTTTCATATGAGTCAGAATTACTTGATCCTCATCTCTTATCCAACTTGAATGAGATACTTGACCCATACTTTTGGTAGATTCTGGTCTCCCATTCTTACACCCCGATAGATAAATTTCTAGCTTTTTGCCCTTAAAGCACTCTTTATCAATCCTTATCAATATTCTGCCTGGTACCCACAGTCACCTCACCTAACTACTCCCCTGACAAGTCACGATACCTGAGATTTGGGAATAAAACTTTTTATTGCATTAATTTTCCTGCTACTTAGAAACCTAGAGTCATACAATGAGAAATGTACTTCTAGAAGGGACAATTAAAAAGTCTGATCAGAGGTCCACTCAGATTCTTATAAAAGGATACCTAGCCAAGAAACAGAATGAGTGTGGGGGGCAGGTAGGGAGGGGTTAGGTAGATGGGGAAGTGTCACTTTTATGTTTCCTGGTCTTACTTTCACACTAATTTCTTCAACATCTTTTATTATATCATTATAGGCTTAATATAATATCAAACTACTCCCTTACAAAAAAAGGTACTTCTTTTGGAGATTGTGCTAGAGGAGCAACAAATGACTCCCCTACTCCCCACTACTACTATCACTTGTATGCTATTTTTTCTCTTTTCCACTCACAATGGTGCTAAAACAACTAAAAGACAGGGGGTGGAAGGGTAGGGGTGGAGGAGAACAACATATAGGAATGGTGTCTGCTTCTCCTTTCAGGAACTCTAGAATTGAATAGGTCCCTTTTAATCTCTCTTCAGCAATTCTTTAGACCAGCACTGCCAATACAAATGTTAGTCATGTATATAGTTTTAAATTTTCTAGTATCCACATTAAAAAAAATCAAAAGAAAAAGAAGAAATTAATTAAAATAATCTATTTTATTTAATCTATCTAAAATATTATTTTAACATGTAATCAATAAATTATTAATGAGAAGTCTTACTTTTCTGGTACTAAGTCTTTGAAATTTGTATATATTTTACACTTAACAGCACATCTCAATTTGTACTAGTTACATTTCAAGTGTTCTTTAGCCACATGTGGCCAGTGGCTATCATATTGGTCAACATAGTTTAAAATATGTCACAGTTAGAATACAGGCTACCATAGGACTCTATTCCCCAAATTCTATTTTACTAACTTCTAAAAAACACTTAATATAATGAAATAGAATTATTTTTTCTCCAACTAATTCTATAGCTTAACTATTCTTACTCAATTCATCATCTTGTTACTGCTTTCATATTTACCTCAGATTTGTTTTTTTCACTTCCTTCTTTAATGGACTTTTTTTCTTACCGTCTCTGTGCTCATTCTCCTTGTCTGTTCCTTAGGCTTTCTTTTATGGTCCTCTGCAATATTCAAATACTTGGGAATATACTTAATATTTCCAATTATGGCAATAATACTACAGAGTTTTCATTCCATGTTTCCGAACAAATTGTCCATTTAATTGGTTACCTCTTGTGTACAAGTCTAATGAGAACACTGCACTCAAAATATATATATGACCATTATTAGTGTAAGACCCCCTTGATCAATAAGTATTTGTTAAGCATCTGCTATGCTATCAGCAGTGCTAATAAATTTCTGAATGGAGTTTTCACTGTGTACACTAAAATGCTTCCTATATTAGTTTGCCTGACCAGTCCTTTTACATTAATTTTTGAACTAGAATCAAAATACATTTTAGGAAAAGTAGTTGTTTGCTACCAAATAGAATTCTTTTTCTCAAAGTCTCAGTCACATGAATGTTTTGATCTAAAATTTTAATCTAACTGTGGTTTAGTGTTTTTTAAGTCAAACACACCACCTCCTGGCAGCAGGAAGCACCACCCAAAACGGTAATTTCAGGTCTCTTGTTTCAGGGTTGTTTGGAAAATAAGTAGGTTTATTAACAGAAGTGATTTGGAATGATACTGTTCCTGCTGGGTAACTGTGTGATTTTAGCAAGAAGGGCTCAAAGTTTGCTTTTAGCCAATGTGAGACATGATGTTCTAATATAGGTCAGGGGTATGACATGTTTACATTCCTCCTCTCCAGGTGGGTGTTTCAAAAAAAATAGTTGTCTTGTTTGCTCTTCTTAATTGCTATCTCTTGGCCTGAAGTGTTTACATAGAAATCAGAGCCTCTTTCCAGTTAAGAATAACTCCAAATGCAGGAACACACATTGGTAATGCCATCCAGAATAAACCAGGTAATGAACAACATGCTTGAACGGAATCTTAAAAATTCTTGATACAATTGCTGGCAATCAAAACCGTTTTCAGTTTATTTTGTGTACTTTGATTTTTTAAAATCCCTCCTAGAATACTTGAGGAAAATGACTTCTTAAGTGAGTTGATAAATAAAGCAATTCACTTATAATAAACCAATTCTCAGCTGCATGTCTTGCTGGTGAGGGTGGAAGAAAACTTTAAATTCTCACAAATGTCTGGGTCACAGAATTACCACTTAGAAAGCAAGCACTTGCTTAAAGCTTAGCTTAGAACTTTATGGCTGTTCTTAAGGGTAAATTCTTCAAGGACACCAAATAGTACAATGTTAAAGGTCTGGACTTTAAAAACAGCATAGTACTGGCATAAAAACAGATATATAGATCAATGGAATGAAATACAGAGTCCAGAAATAAATTTTCACTAATCTGGCCAATTTATGACAAAGGAGACAAGGATTTACAATGGGATAAAGATAGTCTCTTCAGCAAGAGATATTGGGAAAACTAGACAGATGTATGTAAAAAAAAAAAAAAAGAAAAGAAAAGAAAAGAAAAGAAAAAAGAAAAAAGAAAAGAAGAAAGAAATTGGACCACTTTCTTATATCATATACAAAAATAAAGTCAAAATGTATTAAAGACTTAAATGTAAAACCTGAAACCATGAAACTCTAAAACGCTAGTCTTAGCAATATCTTTTTGGATGTCTATTCAGGCAAGAGCAAAAAAAGGAAAAATAAACAAACGAGACCACATCAAACTACAAAGTTTCTGTATAGGGAAGGAAACCTTCAACAAAACAAAAAGACACCCTACTGAATGGGAGAAAATATTCACCAATGATACATCTGATAAAAGGTCAATATCCAAAAATACGTAAGGAACTCATATAACTTTGCACCTAAAACACAATCTAATTGAAAAATGGAGAGAGGACCTGAATAGACATTTGTCCAAAGAAAACATAGAGATGGTCAACAGACATAAGAAAAGATGCACGACATCATTAATCATCAGGAAAATGCAAATCAAAATCACAATGAGATATCATCTCTCACCTGTCAGAACAAGTATCATCAAAAAAATCAACAAATAACAAGTGTTGGCAAGGATGTGGAGAAAAGAGAACCCTCATACATTGTTGATGGGACTGTAAATTGGTGCAGCCACTATAGAAAATGGTATGTATGAAGATTCTTTTAAAAATTAAAAATAGAGCTGCCATACAACCCAGCAATTCCGCTTCTGGATATTTATCCAAAGAA